CTAGCAGCGGTAAGCTATGGTGGGGGGACGAAGGCGAGAAGAGATCCTTTGATGAAACGGCTGAAGAAAATGATAAGCCAGATGGGTTCGGGTTGGAAATAGGGCTTTCGTCGGCGTATTTTTCGACGGATACGACACCGAAAAATTTTCTGGCGTAATGTACGATGGTAATATTTTATTGAGTTTAAAACGATCAGCATCTAATCCGCTGATAACTATGTTGGTACTTTTCGGCATAAACTACACCGCATTATATGACATGCTTGTAGATTAGACGTACAAACCGGCGTACTATACATAAGAAAAATACTGACTCATTATTCGCCAGTAATTCTGCCTGTAAAAATGTCATAGTGACCGACGTATATAAATCCGCCGGAAGCTGTGATGGTAATCCCACATTTTCCTGTAGTGAATGGCGTCACCTCTAAAGCGGGATTTTATTCATGTTTGAGCCTAACGAGTTCAGGCCACTGACAGGCTATAGTAAAACTTTTACTTGTCGAATGCGTTGCAAGTGCTCTTGCCAGTCGCCATTTTTTTTATAAGAAGTAAAGATGATGATATGTTGGTGAGTTGTGTCGGGTTGACCCGGGTCCTAAGCAAGTCGAGTTCGGGTCCAAGAAAATGACCTATTTTAAAAAATAGATTGGGTTTGATTGGGTCGGGTTAACTAGTGTCAGGTCAATTTGGGGTTAGACCTAAACTCGACATGTGACCTAATTTCGACAGCCCTAAATATAAGCATTAATAACTCCTTTATTTTCTAAAACCTTTCATGACACTTCTCTTAGAACTTTATCATATGCATTCTTTAAATAAATAAATATCATATGAAGATCCTCCTTATTCTCTCCATGCTTTGCTTCTCCATCAAACCTCTCAATAAATGTATAACTTCCACAGTAGACCTACCTCACATGAATCCAAATTGATTTTGAGAAACTTTAGTATCACGTTGTAACCTACGCTCCATAACTCTATCCTAAAGTTTTAAAGTATGACACATTACTTAATTCCTATATAATTCGCACAATCTTGTGTATCAACTTTATTTTTAAAAATAGGAATCAACACACTTATTATCCACTCATTTAACATATTTTTAGTCTTCAAAATAATATTAAAAAGTTTAGTAAGCCAAGACATTACTTCATCTCTAAAGCATTTCCACACCTTTATAGGAATATCATCAAGTCCAACAACTTTTCCTCACTTCATTTTCATTAAAGCCTCTCTAACTTCGGTTTGACTAATACGCTGATAAAAACAAAAAATTTTATTATCATTTAGGATGTTAAGATTACTAAAGTTAATCGTATTCTTACAATCTTCATTAAGAAGTTCAGCAAAGTATCTCATCCAACCTTTTCACGTATATTCTCATTTCATATCTCGTCTCTAAGAGTAAAGCCACTCATCCACCTGAGCATCCTCATCTCTGCAATACTTAACTTAATATTATGCTTCTCTATTAATGACCAACATTCTATGCCATAAAGCATTGCAGGTCTCACCACCATCTTATAAAATTTTCCCTTAAGTTTGAGGGTCACATTTCTATACACACTAAGCCCGATGCATTCCTCCACTTCAAACATCCAACTTGAATTCTACTAATAATATCCCCATCTATGCCACCATCACTAAGAACAATAGACTTGAGATATCTAAAATGTGTACTCTTAATAATGACTTGGTCACTCAAAGTTACAAACCTCACATTAGATCTATTACAACTAAAATTACATGTCATATGTTCGATTTTAGATTTACTCAAACAAGAACCTTTAGATTCTAAGATTAATCTCTATAATTCAAGTTTACCTTCAACTTCCTCTCTAGTTTTATTAACAAGAAGAATATCATCAGCAAAAAACATATACCAAGGTACAACCTCTTGCTAATGTCTAGTGAAAACATCCATGAATAAAGCAAATATATATGGGCTTAAAGGCTAATCCTTGATTTAATATGACAGGAATAAGAAAATACTTGTAAAATCATATTGTGTTTGAACATAAGTAACAACACCTGCATGCATATCCCTAATGACTTGAATATAAATATTATTAACTTTTTTTTTAGAATATTCCATAACACTTCTTTTGAAATTTTATCATATGCTATCTTTAAATCAATAATAATAATCAGTGCTTTAAAAATCGGACCGGACCGGCCGGTTCGACCGGTTCAACCGTGAACCGGTCATAAGGCCGGTCCGGTTCAGCCCTAAAACCGCTTCTGCAAAGAACCGGACTGAACCTGTCAGAACCCCGGTTCAACCGGCGAACCAGTCCGGTTATTTTTGAACCGGTCGGTTCAAATGTCACAAATTTTAAGTATTTTTTTAAATAAATAAATTAATATATATTAAAAATATTTAATTAAAGTTAAATACATTTTATATAATAAGTATTTTTATGATCTTTGTCCCTCGCACCATGACCACATTCCATGACTCCCATGTGCTTTCTTTGTGCAAGGAATCTAATTGCTATATACAAAGCAAGAAGTGTTTCTAAGGGATGTGGGACTAAAGAAAAGAGATGAGGAGTGTATGAGTTCATAGAAATATATAATAAGTATACAATCTTATTTTTAAAACAGATTTTTTTAATTAATTATTTTTTTGTGAGTGATGATTATTTATTAGTTAGCAATAAAAATTATTTATTTATACATAATAAAATAATTTATCAATAATAATTTTATTTTATTTATTATGATTTTAGATATAAATTTATAAAATAATTTTTGTATACAATATATATAACATGTAAAATATAATTTAATCATTAATATAAATAAGAATAATTTATATTAATTTTAAACTTAATGTAGAATTAAATTTATATAAATATGTAATAATTAATAATAATATATATTAAATTATATGGTTATATATAAATTAAATTTAAATTTGAAAAATATTTCAAATTTAAATTATCATATTTTTTTGAGTGTAAATTCTTATAATTATGATATTAACTTTTTTCTTTTTAGTGAGGATTTTAAAAATAATTATTTACTTTAATTATATAAGTTTAAAGTTTCATAGTTTTTTTAATTTAATTTTTTATCTCATACTTTGAATGATAATATTTTTTTATGTTAATTGTATTAAATTTAAATATACTTATTATTTATTACGTCATCCGGTTCGATCCCGGTTACGACCGGTCGAACCGGTCGAACCGTGAACCTCTCCTTGTTCCGGTTTGTTGTCCGGTCCGGTTTTCAAAACCTTGATAATAATAATAATAAAAAGGTCCAAACGCCCATTAGACATTTATGGAGCCCAAGTAGGGAACAATTATTTCGTCCTCTGACCTGACGTAGAGCTATGTTCGGCCGCCAATAACATGTCGCCACGTGCTCTTACTCTAAACCGCGTGGCCCGACGACTTGACCCGGAGCAGAACCCGGAAATGCTATGTTCGCGATTTTCTCGGTATCTCGGTATTTGCTAGGTATTGCTTTGTAAAAATGAGAAATACCGCTCTTTGAAGACCAATACCATGCAAATACCGAGTTGTACCGAGTTTTTTACAACTCGGACAACTTGGTTATTTCTCAGGATTTGCTCGGTATTGCTAGAGATTTGCTCGGTATTGCTAGGTATTTGCTCGGTATTGCAAGAAAAAACTCAGTACAACTCGGTACAACTCAGTATTTGCTCAGGATTTGCTCGGTATTGCTAGGTATTTGCTCGGTATTGTTAGAAAAAACTCAGTACAACTCGGTATTGCTCAGGATTTGCTCGGTATTGCTAGGTATTTCTCGGTATTGTTAGAAATAACTCAGTACAATCGGTATTGCTCAGGATTTGCTCGGTATTTGCTCAGGATTTGCTAGAAAAAAACTCAGTACAACTCGGTACAACCTCGGTATTGCTAGAAAAAAACTCAGTACAACTCGGTGCTAGGTATTTGCTCGCGTATTGTTAGAAAAATCCAGTACACTCGTATTGCTCAGGATTTGCTCGGTAATTGCTAGGTATTTGCTCGGTATTGTTAGAAATAACTCAGTACAACTCGGTTTGCTCAGGATTTGCTAGAAAAAAACTCAGTACAACTCGGTACAACTCGGTATTGCTAGAAAAAAACTCAGTACAACTCGGTATTGCTAGAAAAAACTCAGTATTTGCTCAGGTTTGCTAGAAAAAACTCAGTACAACTCGGTATTGCTAGAAAAAACTCAGTACAACTCGGTATTGCTAGAAAAAACTCAGTGTTTGCTCAGGATTTGCTCGGTATTGCTAGGGATTTGCTCGGTATTGCTAGAAAAAACTATTATTTTCTATCGACTCAAGGTCAGCGCAAAGAAGCCGAAGCTTCTTCCGACCCTCATCTCCTTCTCCATACGTTGATCTTACCACTAACCTTTCTCCATTTTTTCAGCAAAGTCTGACGCCATCCACCTCTTCAAGCCGAGAGGCACCCTTTCGATCCCTTCCGCAC